GGACGTGGGCCGCAGGATGCAGGTCGGCCAGGAGCTGCTGGAGTACCTGGGCGACCCGGCGAGGTCCTCCGACCTGGAGCAGGACCAGCAGCGCCTGGACAAAGTGATCGATGAATTAACAGGATGGGTCAACTCCAGCAATTTTAAGGTGAGGCTTGGTGCGGGGAGAGCATGATTCATCATGGGAGGGAGGGAGGGAGGGAGGGACAGCGCTCCGGGTTACTTTTTAATCAGATACGGGCAGAAATAAAACTACATTGGTACCGGTTTTTATCCCTCCCTCTCTCCTTCCCTCCACAAAGGGAAATACAGAAATTTTGGGACGTGTTTAACATTTTCTTGTTCCTATTCCTCTGTCCTAAAAGAAGCAGTCAAGGGTGTTTTTTTTTTTTGTTTTGCTTTTATCTTTGTTTGAAACGTTTTTGCACAGAATAAAAACCAAAAACCCCGTGCAACTATCTTACATATTCGAGTTGTGCTTCTTACTCTGAAACGAGCTAGGTGGTGATTTTTCTTTTTCTTTTTCTTTTTCTTTTTCTTTTTCTTTTTCTTTTTCTTTTTCTTTTTCTTTTTCTTTTTCTTTTTCTTTTTCCCCCATTCCGTGATCTCTGTACTTGGGTGTCATGTCTCATGCTGTTGCCATTATTTTCTGTAGGCCGTGAAGGGTGTTGTTCCACCAGGTTTGTGTTGCATCCGTGTGTGTGTTTTATACGATTTAATGAATAATTTGCTTCTTGGGCTTCCCACTGTAAGTTGAAAGTTGTTTATATCGTCTTTCGGTGACTTTCCCGTCCGTGGGAAGTTATATAGTATCTGTGTAGTAGCTCGATGATGACTCATGTTTTGCCTTTCTTTTTTTTTTGGTGCGTTTTAGGCAGAGCTGCGGGGAACGCTGATTACACCCGCACACATCTGCTCTCATATTTGTACATTTTTCTGGTGTTGCTCAGCCGATAACACGATTGACAACGTATTTTTACTACCAAGGACAATCATATTCGCATTTGCTATTTTTTTTATTATTATTTTTTTTATTTCCTGGCGCATGAGATGCGCGGCGGGGCCGGGTCTGCGCTCCCGTCATCGGGTGGCGGTGTTGGTCTGCGGTGCTGAGCTCGGGTCCGTTACCGGAGCGAGATCCGCCCTTCCCGCCCCGCTTACTCCCTCCCTCTCCTGCCTTTTAAGATGATTGACTTGCACTTTGGGGCTTTGAACTCAGTCTAGTGAGGTTATTGTAATTTTTTTCTGTTTGCTTAGATGCAGGAGACAGGTTTAGGAGTGCCTTCTAAGGGCAGTATGTTCATAAAACAGGTAGATTTTATTTTTCCCCCTCCGTTGACTTTACAGTGCTGTGTACTTGCCAGTGTTTGCACATAGCACTTCTAAGTGTGAGTTGTTGGTGATAATTGATTGCTGTGAAACCTAGACAGCTCTTTAAATACTCTTTTGTGTAAAGAGGTTGATACTTAACAGGGTAATGTAAAAGTTTTTTTCCTGAACTTTTAAATTGATAAAATTGTGAGGTAATACTTGAAATTTCTTTTTCAAGATGTGTTTCCATAAAGCAAGACGCTCTGCTTGCTGTTGGTGATAGGTGACAGAACTCCTTGGCTGTTAGGACTGTAGGACAGATGAGGAATATGCAGTACTGCAGATCACAAGCCTCCGTCATACAAGATGAGGTTAAGCATATTACACATTCTAAGAGTTTTTAAAAATAACTTGCATAATGATGAAAAACTTTGTCTTTTTTTTTTTTTACCTCTTCTCTATGTCCATTTACTGGTTGGTGGCTCTATACATACAACATGCTATTTCAAAGCATGTCATATACGTTATATTAACTGCAATGACACAAGATCTTGGATGTTTTGCTCGTGATAATCTGTGACTGTGGTGATAGCTGCCAGCATCTGCTGCTTCGAAACAGAAATTAAAAATATTCTGAAAAACTGTGGTTTGCACCTGACTTGCTTATTTTATCTTATGCGAGCGTAGATGGTGCACATTTCAATGTTAGATCTGAGTTTGTTATTAAACTCGGGGCCTGAATGATGTCATAAAGTAACGAGTACCACAAGCTTACGTGAATTATTAAGAAAAATACTGAAGTAATTTTATTTTTTATTTCTGTATTTATAGTAATTTATTGGTTAGCCTTCCCTCTGCTGAGGAATGGATATGTAGAGCATTTGGACAATTCCTCTGACCATCTCATTCTTCTTAGATCTTGCTAAAGGTCTTGCAGATCTTCAAAGTCCCAAAGTAATTAATCCCTCGCTGTTGACATGGCTGTTTAATTGAGCAGTGATAACGGCTGGTGACTGGTGTATTTATTGGAACTGCTGAGCTAGATGAGTCAGAGTGACAAGTGGGGAATATTGGAGGAAGTTTTGAGGGAGAGCATTATTTCTGCTGTAGGTGAGCGGTATGGATAATCAGGGAATAACTGATGTGTTGTATCTTTCCTTTTGTGTGAAAACTTAGTTCTTGCATGCAGTGTTCTCTGCTGACCATGCTGAAAGAGAAGATGGGTGACCTGGGAGTTCTCAACTCAAACCTGTGCTGTGCCTGGGAAGAGAAAACCATGAAATGCCTTACATAACCAGAAGAGAAAGGATCTGGAGGGAATAGGAGGGTTGATTTGGCAGACTTGATAATGAGTGAGGGAAAAAGAGAATAGATGTTCAGTAAACAAGTATGGACTTGTTATTAGCAAGGTTGAATTAACTTATTTCAAAAAGATTTTGGCCATCTAAATAGTGCTTTTGCTTTTCTGAAGTTTACAGCTGTTTGTAGCGGTTTAATAAATGATCTGGTGGTTTCAAACTAAGAGAGCAGATAGGAACATTTCTGAGTCCATCTAGCTCATTGAAGTGGAAAATGCAATTACCAGTTTGAGTTACTGATAAATCAGAAAGGTGGGATTAAGGATGTGTTGACTCATCTGCAAATGGTGTGGTGTTCCAGTGAAAGTTGGTTGCAGAACATAGTGAGTGACCTGGAGAGTGAGAGATGAGCCATCTCTAAAGGCTGACCTTAATGGTGTATTGTGGGGCCTTCAGTTACGATGTCTGTGCAGTCAGTGATAAATTAGCTTCCAAAGGCAGCTGAAAACTTGGCAACATGTGCATAATTTAAGCTTTTATTTTGGATCTCATTAGAATGAAAGAGTTGCTCACTGAACTGAAAATTGGTTCCTTGATGTCCTGGTCCCGTGATCTGGTTTATTTCACGTTGTTTGGGACTGACCTCTCTCTTTCACTTAAGACTCTTGGGTGAACTTCAAGCAGCAAATTAATTCCCTGTTCTGAAGGTATCACTACTGATAGGTATTTGCTGGCTTCACTGGGTGTGGTGGTTTAACCACAGTAGGACCATGTGGTCCTGCACTCACTCCCCCCACCCAGTGAGACGGGAAGGGAATCACAACAAAGGGGCACGGATTAGGAATGAAGGACAGGGATGGCTCACTCGCCTGTTATGGTCATGGGCAAAACAGACTCAACTTGGGGAAGAAGAATCAATTTAATTTGTTGCCATTCATCTGTGTAGCACAGTGAGACATAACAACCACATCTTACAACACCTTCCCCCACCCCTCCCTTCTTCCCAGGATCAAATCACTTTGCTTGTAATTTCTCTGCCTTTCTCCCACCCCCCAGCAGCACAGGGGACAGGGAATGGGGGTTCAGTCAGTTCACCTCTGCTGCTCTTCCTGGCATTAAAGTCCAGGAACAAGATGTTCCAACACGAGCTTCCCATGGAGTCATGGACCTCTTTGGGCTCAGCTCCCAGCTCTGGCATGGGGACATCCACAGGCTGCAGATAGATCTCTGGTTCAGTACATGTCCTCACACCCCGGCTCTGGGGGTCTACCTTGGCTCTAGTGTTGAGGAGTGAACACTTCAGAGTCTCAATTCAGTCACACTTGCCCTCAGGCTCAGCTTTCCTGCTCCAGTGTGGAGTCCTCCATGGCCTACACGTGGGTATCTGCTTGGCCATTGAACCTCCATGGGCTGCAGGGACCTCCTTTGCCTTCTCCTACTCCATGGGGTTGAACTGGGTGTCTGAGGTTCTCTGTCCTCCCTCTCCTTCTTACTGACAGTGAAGCCCTCTCTTTGTTCAGGCCATTGGTCTTTCGTTCAGATCAATGGTCTCCCCTCCAGGTTCTCTCTACCTTCATCTTCAGGACAGCCCTTCTCCTCACAAATATGGGTTTCCAGAGGTGTTTCAATATTGCTCATTGGCCCAGCCTGGGCTGGGGTGTCTCTGCCTTGGAGCCAGGGAAACTTTCACGAAGCTTTTCTCAAGGTGGCCCCTTCCCCATACACAAACCCAATCCACTGGGTTAACCTGGATGTTCATCTCTGTACACAGGAGTTCTAATTAACACATCTCTTATGTCTCTTGTACTCAGTAGTCACTTGAAATAATTACAAGGTTATTAACCTTGTACAGTCAGGTGGCTCAAACTGTTCTGTGTCCCACTCAAATAAGTAACTTGGAAATCTGCTTTGAACTTCTGCTAAAGAGACATGGAATGGAGAAATACTGCTTTCATGTAAAGCTTTGCAGGTCTGCTCTTGGTTGCTAGCGTGTTGTGTTTCTTTAAACCCCACTGAGGTTGAATCACTACCCTCTTCAAATTTATTTTTTGAGCAATAAAGCCACCTTTTGGTTCTTCATGCAAATCACCCTTGATCAGAAGTAATAAAACCCTACAACTAAAATGCTGGTGGGTTCTCAAGGTAATTTCATGTGAGAGGAGTAATCAGTAACGTTTGTGACTGTGAGTCATCTTGAGATTTCCTACCTTTATAATTGATATTTTAGCTTGTTTTATTCCTTAATTGCAGGAGGAAAGTAATTAATGGTAGCTATTTTTATGTCAGAGCAGCAGATTGGTTGGTATGCAAAAAAAAAAAGAAAAATTACATCTGACACTGTTTCTGATGGTGGGGATAATCTGGTTCTTTTAGGCAAATCCTTGGAGTTATCCTTTATTCTTCCTCAAGAGTGAGATTTTTTTCTTAGCTTTGAGCTTAGCTTGGTCTCAACACCAACTACTGAAAGATACTAAAATACCAGTGATGATGTTGTTGCATTTTTGTATTTCCTTGGTTTGGCAAGTGTTTATTTTGGTTT